ACGATAGTTTAGTGGAACGTGGACTAGGATCGCGTTTCACCGAAAGCGACCGTAGCGCCAAGACGATCGTAACTTCGATACTACTTGCGGTAGACTTACGACAGTCGTAACGCTTCCTACACAGTTCCGTGCCCCGTCCCACAAAGCCATCATCCAGCGTTACGAATACCGTAGACAATGCTAAAGTATGGAGGTTACGACCACCTCAGCGAATTACAATCGCGGGGCCATGAAGGTTACAACAAACATTTCACAACAGTTTTAAAAGTAAACATATATTCTTAGCTAAGATGTGTTCAGCTACAAGATACAGAAAATTATCATATGCACCAGCCGAAGAAGTAGATCACACTTTTTACGCGCTTTTATTCGAAGTTTCAATAATGATTATAATAACAACTCGCATTTCCTGAGAAAACATTGTTGGGAAAGCCTCTAATAACTAAAAAGTGTAGAGACACGTTACAGACATTACTATCTAACGCTCACTGTTCTTTACTAAAAACATATACAAATACAACACTACTAACAAATACATCAAGTAAAAACGGAAAAAGAAATACTGATTAAAAGCATTATCAGGACGTTTCGTTTATCGGGGTGTGAACGTACGAGGTTTGATTGATAAGTTCCGTACAGAAGGAACTAGCGGATCACAGAGTGAGTGAGTGAGTTTAGTTTTACGCCACACTCAGCAATATTCCAGCTATATGGCGGCGGTCTGTAAATAATCGAGTCTGGACCGAACAAGCCAGTGATCAACAGCATGAGCATCGATCTGCGCAATTGGGAACCGATGACATGTGTCAACCAAGTCAGCGTGAGTCTGACCACCCGATCCCGTTAGTCGCCTCTTACGACAAGCATGGGTTACTGAAGATCAATTCTAACCCGGATCTTCATGAATGGGTCACAGAGGAAACTATGTGGACTTTATATGAAGTCACAGACGAATATATACACACCTGAAGAGAAAAACAAACAAAAACACTTGCTTGTAACATTTGAGAAAATTAGAGTTACTATACTATCAAGCGGGGCCTGTGACCTTTGGGAAACTTGAGGAGCGTAGTAGTGATGATGTGATTAAGAGGGCTTAACAATAAAAGTCCGTGAAGAGATAAATACAGCGTTAGAGAAGCATACGCCACCTCCAGAGTTTTTATGGTGTGAAGGAGCGGCGCAAGTAGCTGAGGAACGGGAATATAGGATTGAAGTGGTGAACCAAGTTTCACTCTCACGCAGTACATTATTGCAAGAATAATCCTGGATCAGTATCAGGATCAGAATCAACAATAGATCAGGATCAGAATCAACATTAGGATGAGGATCTGAATCAGCATCAGGATCAGGATCTGAATCAGCATTAGATCATTAGGGCCAGAATCAGTATTAGGATCAGGGTCAGCATTAGGATAAGGATCTGAATCAACATACATCAGGCTAGAATTCAGGATCAGAATTAGCATTAGATCAGGATCTGAATTGCATACATCAGGATCTGAATCAGCATACGATCAGGATCAGAATCAACATTAGAGGATCAGGATCAGCATTAGGATCAGGATCTGAGAATCCAACATTTAGGATCGGATCTGAATCCAACATTAGGATCAGGATCAGAATCAACATTAGGATCAGGGGTCAGAATCCGCATTAGGATCAGGATCTGAATCAGCATTAGGATCAGGATCTGAATCAACATTAGGATCAGGATCAGAATCTAACATTAGGATCAGGATCAGTATCGAGGATTCAGATGTGTGTTAGTAATGTTCTTGTGTGATGTGTGTAGGCGTGCCTACTCTCTCTGAGTTGAACGAATACTATTTGTAAATCTTTGAAGAGATTCAAAGGGCATGTTTCTAGTATTTGAGTTCGCAGAAATTGGTGTTCTTGCTAATACAGTTCCGAAAAAGAGAAATCAAGATATATATACTGAATATAAAATAATGTCGCGATAGCACGGTTCTTCAAGCACCTTTAACACTCTCCTACAGAGTTCCATGCGGCAAACTAGCATAGTAATTCTTTCTTAAGTATAGGTATGAAATGGATGATTCGTCATATCTAATGTCCATTCAATAGAAGGTACAGATTTCTTTTACTTTTGAGTTTGACGAGTTCGTACATCTAACTAAACATCTTTAGAATGGTTTGTTTGACAAAATATTCAAAACATGTAACACTATTTAAATTTGCGAAGATTCATGTTTGTTGTAGGTTGTACGGCTCCACGTGCTGTCATCGAAGCTGATGGAGATAAACGATGCAACAAGTTGATATCGTAAATATGTATTTTACGGTAAAAGACCTTAATGTCGCTGTAGTTAGAAGAATATACCTATAACAATGTAAAAACAATGCGCTGAAAAGAGCGCTTCGAAAAGGCTCGTGAGTTCAGTCTTCTATTATGAATAATATGCGCGTTTGTTTACAAACAAGAGAAAAGTCAGGTCGCGTGATAATGCAAGTTAGCCTGTAGCGGTGATGTTATGTTGGTCATCGCTGTGCCGGAGTGTGACACTTTACTCACTCTAATTAACAATCAAAGAGCAGGGGATTGAGTTCAAGGCGACAATTGCGGTTAACACATTTTCGGGAATCACATTGAGAGTTCACACAAAACAAAATGACCAAAAAATGGTACCATTAAGATACCTCAAAGTGGTATTGTGTGTGGCCTCCATGGGCATCGATAGAAAGCGTTGCATCGTCTATACAGGGAGAATGAATTAGCCGGTTGATGATGGCCGCGACGCCAGGTCCATTTTTTTAAATGCCAGATCGAGTCCAAGCGGTTGTCGGCCTTAGGTGGGGAGGTCATTCGGTCTTCTTTGAATCTCGTCCCAAATGTGTTCTGTGGACTCAAATCAAGACTGAGTGCAGGCTATTGTGTTTGGATGTCATGTTGCTTAGGAAGTCAATGTAACTCTGGCAGTGTGGGGCCAGTGTGTCTTTACTGGAAGATGTGATTTCTGTAATGTCAAAATGTGTGTGGTACAACGTGGGGTCTTGCGGCTTGGTCAATATAGCGTGCGAAGCTGTCACGTCATTTTCCTCATCCTGGACCAAGATTCTGAAACACCACGGTCAACGCTATGGTTCCAGACCGACCACCCCATGATGCTTGGACCACCCCATGAGTCACTTCCAACAACTCTGTTGGAAAACGGTTCCCCACGCCTTCACCATACTCTCCACTCTGCTTGTCGGCGGTATCAGCTTTCTTGAGATAAAAGCACAGTTCTCTATTGTCGATAACGCAAAATTGCTGCTGAGTTCCCCATCGCAGTCGGTTTTGGTGATGATGAGCGGTGAGAAAAGGACCACGATATGGTCGCAACTGACTGGCGAGAGGTTTCTCCGCGCGAAGCGATCGACGCACTGTATCGGCATGGGTCTGTTGTGAGTCAAATGGTCTGGCGTGCTGTTTTCGTCTCTCTGGAAGCGATCACCGCAGATGGTGTCGGCCTTGACGTTGGCCGATGTTACTGAACGTCGCCCCACTGCGTGGACGGTCTTGGATGCTGTCGATGACCTGATACCGCTCCTGCAGTCGGTAGACTGTCCTAACATGAACATTAAAATGATTGGCTACCCTCCGTGCGGTCTGCCAACTGCAATCGTCCTCTGATTTCTCGTAAGTCGTGCCATGGCGATTGTGTCAAAAACAAAATGATTTCAGGTGGGTTTTGGGACTCGCTTTCATTGGTAGGATTGTCACTATATGCACGTGCATTTTCATTTTTTCACGAATGTCATGCAGGTGCTTTACCACGTCTGTCATTTTAGGCGCGTTTGGTCGATATGCTTTTTCATCAGAAAACACACTGATGTTGGCAACAACTGTCGAATTTGGATTGAAAAACATGTTGATATAACGATACAATCATAATAAAGCACCATTTTGTATGAACAAAATTTGGCATTTGGTTTTGAAAAGCGACGTTTCTTTTTGTGGTTCGGTATATTAGGAAACCACTCGAGAAGATCTTGATAAAAGACTGCATGGAATCTTTGTTAGTCGAATGACTTGGAAATAACACCAAAATCTGTCGCAAGACCCGTGAAACGAAAGAAAAATATGGTCCATGTGATGTATTATCATGTCAGAAATAACCTTCCATTTGGCATGACAGTGTATTTCAACTGCCCTCAAACTCAAGAACCTTTCTGTTAAGAAATCTCGACCATGTTGTCCTTTCTCTTTAGCAATATGGCAAACAAAATGGAGCTTCACACACTGCACCCTAGCGGAGTTGCCTTAACTACTCTAGCCACCCCCAACAGCAGTGAAACCGTCGTACCTGATCATTGAAATCGAGCCGTTGCGAGTGGATTCTATCCACAAATTCCAGTGAGTTCAAGGTAATGAACAATACTATGGATTCACATGTATGTGACTTATACATGAAATGTATATGTGCCTGTACGTAATATGTATGTGCCCTGTACGTGACATGTATGTGACATATATATTGCCATGTATGTTATTTGTGTGTGTTTGTACAGAGTCCAGCAAATTTAGATGCTCAACCATGTACAACCCGGTGAGTTGTGATTTTTGTTCATTGAACTCAGTCGTTTCAAACACAATAGCCATTCAGATTACAATAGGTCCCAGCATGTTTGAGTTGACTCCATGGATCCGTCAGGATCAGTGAACTAAATTTCTACATTGTTTCATTAATCTGTCATCGATGGAGTGATGATGACTGTGTGTGTCACTATATCCTGACAATATTAGTCTCTGTTCATAATATCAATCACTAGTTTGTGTACATCGTATCTCTCAACAGATAATTCCAAACGTCTGCTCTATGCATTGTGTTCAGCTGATACAGTTTAAATTCATCACCCGAAGGCGGGTTTTTTCGTTCGATTCTCCATATGGACTCAATGAGAGAAGCCCATTTCTGGTGTCCCCCGACGTGATACTGCTGGAATATTTTAAAGAGTGCCTCAAACAATATTCTCACTCAATCACTCAATTACAGCCTGTGCCTTTCACAACCAGTATTCCCGGTGGTATCTACCCTGGCCGCATACTGAACATCAGTGGAATCCCCAACCCTGATTCGACCCGGTGAGTGTACACCTTGATATGTAGCACTCTAGTGGAGACCCCAATCATAATGCCTTCAGTTAATCTGTACCCTGACCACATGGCACACCAGTAGAGACCCTCATCCTCATGTCTTCAGTAAATCTTTTACCCTGGACCACATGACACATCAGTAGAGACCTCCATCCCTACATGTCGCTCAGTTAACCTGTTCCCTGAATCTATGCTGGCAGTCACCAGTAGAGACCCTTATCCCTGTGTCTTCAGTAAACCTATAATTTATTCATATGGCACATCTGTAGAGAGACCTCCATCCTCACGTCTTCCGGTAAATTTGCACCCTGAATGAAGTATTACGCACCTAGTAGAGTGACTCTTTATCCTCATGCCTTCTAGTAAATCTATATACCCCCGACCACATGACACATCTAGTAGAGACCTCCATCCCCACGCCTTTTAGTGAGAATCTGTACCCTGACCTAAGGGTACACAGTAGAGACCCTTATCCTCATGTGCTGATGTCTTCAGTAACTGACACATCGGTAAAGACCTCCATCCTCATCTGGTACTGTGCCCTGACATGGCACACCAGTAGACCTCCATCCCTTCACGTCTTCGGTAGCTCCCAAATTCTGACAACATGGCACGCAGTAGAGACCACATCCTCATGTCTTCAGCGTACATCATACCCTGACCACATGACACCGAGTAGAGACCTTCATCCTCCCCGTCTTCATAGTAAATCTGTACCCTGACCACATGGCACACCAGTAGACCTCCATCCTCGGCGTCTTCATAGTAATTCTGTTACCCTGACCACATATGGCACACCAGTAGAGACCTCCATCCCCGTGTCTTCAGCGCCAATCTGTACCTGACCACAAGGGCACATGTTCAGTAGAGACCTACATCCCCTTATGTCTTCAGTAAATCTGTTCCCACGACCACACCTGACACCACACCAGTAGAGACCTCCATCCCTCACTGCTGTCTTCTAGTAAATCCGGGTACCCTGACCACATGGCACACACCAGTAGAGACCTCCATCTCTCTACAGGTCTTCAGTTAATCTGTACCCTGACCACATGGCACACCAGTAGAGACCCCTATCCTCATGTTTTCTTGTAAATCATAATGTACCACATGACCACACATGACACATCGAGTAGACCCCATCCATCGCTCACGCTGTCTTCAGTAAATCTGTTACCCTGGACCATACATGCCAGACATCACCAGTAGAGACCCTCATCCCAATGTGTATTCAGTAAATCTATACCCTGACTACGTGGCACAACGTAGAGACTCTCCATCCTAATACCTTCGCAAATTCCATGCCCTGACCACATGGCACACCAGTAGGGAAACCCCCATCCGCAATGCTCCTGCGTGAACAAACACCCTGTGTGTACACCAGTAGGAAACCCTCATCGTAATGATCGACTTTTGTTTAAATAAATGTATACCCTGGTCTTCAAGTGGCAGATCCGGTGTAGACTCCCACAAATATGCATTCATTTTACATCCTGAGCCATTTTAGCACACCAGTAGAGACCTCATCCTCATGTCTTCCAGTAAATCTATACCCTGGACCACATGACACACCAGAGACCGACCTGTCATCCTCACTGCCTTCAGTGAAATTGGTACCCTGACCACATGGCGCACCAGTAGAGACCGACCTCCATCCTCATATGTTTTCTGAAGCTAATCTGTACCCTGACCACATGGCACACCTGTGAGAGACCCTCATCCCCAAGTGCTTTCAGTAAATCTATACCTCGCGACCACACTGACACATCAGTGAGACCTCCATCCTCACGTCTTCCAGTGCAAATCTGTGCCCTGACCACATGAGACACACCAGTGAGACCCTCATCCTAATGTGTATTCGGTAAAGTCTTATGCCTGACTACGTGGGCAATACCATAGTAGAGACTCTCCATCCCACAATACCTTTCGGTAAATCTGTACCCTGACCGCTACGGTAATACACCCAGTAGAAACCCCCATCCTAGTCAGCCGCCTTGTGAATGACAAAAACGTGTGGGTGCACACCAGTAGAAACCCTCATCGTTAATGAGATTTACTCAATGTATACCCCTGACCAAGTGGCAGATCAGGTGTAGACTCCCATATACATACATTCCATTATATCCTGACCATTTGGCACACCAGTAGAGACCTCCATCATCTCGTCTTCAGTATTAAATCTATACCCTGACCACATGACACATCAGTAGGACCACTCTCCATCCTCGTCGTCTTCTAGTAAAATCTGTAATTTGACCACATGGTACGTCACCAGTAGAGACCTCCCTCTCATCCCTATGGCAAGGCGGCAAGCAAGTCTTTTCTAGTGCTTTAATCTGTACCCTGACCACATAAGTACACCAGTAGAGACCCTCGCTATCCTCAGCAGAAGTTTTCGAGTAAATCTATGCATATACCGCGACTACATGACACACTATCAGTAGAGAGCCTCTCCATCCTCACACGTCTTTCAGGTAAATTTGCAGCTCCTGACCACATGAGCACTGTCAGCAGGTAGAGACCACTCACATCCTAATGTATTCAGTAAATCTATACCCTGACTGCATGTGGCACACCAGTGAGACCTCCATCCTAATACAGCTGGTAAATCTATACCCTGACCACATGGCTTTACCAGTAGAAACCCCATCTAACAAGCGTCTTCGGTGAACAAACACCCTGTGGGCAGCACCAGTAGAAACCCTCCCTCATCGTACTGACTTATACTAAATGTATGCCCTGACCAAATGGCAGGCAGGATCGGTGTAGACCCTCCCAAGCAAACATGCATTCATTTTTACATCCTGACCATTTGGCACACCAGTAGAGACCCTCATCCTCATGCCTTCAGTAAATCATATACCCTGACCACATGACACATCATCAGTAGGGACACTCTCATCCTCACGTCTTCAGTGTAAATCTGTACCCTGACCACATGGCACACCAGTAGAGACCTCCATCCTCATGTTTCATAGCGTTAATTCAGATTCTGACCATGTGGACACACCAGTAGAGAGACCCTCATCCTCATGTTTTCATAGTGAACCTATACCGCGACCATTCGTGACACACATCAGTAGAGACCTCCATCCTCACACACGTCTTCAGTAAATCCTGTACCCTGACCACATGATACACACTGTGAGACCACTCATCCCTAATGTATCTGTAGTAAATCTATATACCCTGACTACGTGGCACACCAGTGAGATTCATCCTCTAATAATACCTTTCTGGTAAATCTATAATTCTGACCACATGCCGGCACACCAGTAGAAACTCCCCATCCTAATGTCTTCAGTGAATAAACACCCTGTGTGGTACACCAGTAGAAACCCCCATCGTAATGAATGCTTCTACTAAATGTATACCCTGACCAGAGTGTGGCAGATCAGTGTAGACTCCTATATAACATGCATTCATTTATTATCCTGACCATTTGGCACACCAGTAGAGTCCCTCATCCGCATGTCTTCATTAAACCTATACCCTGACCACATGACACACCAGTAGAGACCCTCATCCGAATGTATTCTTTGTAAATCTATACCCTGACTGCATGTGGCACACCAGTAGAGACCTCCATCCTAATGTGTATTCATTAAACCTATACCCTGACCATGTGGCACACACCAGTGAGACCTCCATCCTAAACATCTCTTCAATTTAATTTATGCCCTGGCCATGTGGCACACAAGTTGAGACCAAATCCTATTTTTCAGTAAATCCAGACCCTGACCATGACAACATACCAGTGTAGAGGGCCCATCCTAATGCATGTCTTCAGCAATTATACATCCTGACCACGTGGCCACACAGAGTAGAGACCCCATCCTTCAGTAAATCGTGAACATGTGGCACACCAGTCGAGAACCCAATCCTGATGAATTAATTGAAAATATACCTAAATCACATTATCCTCACATTGCTCAGGGGCGGTGGGGTAGCCTAAGGGTTAAAGCGTTTGCTTGTCACGCTAGAGACACAGGTTTGATTCCCCACATGCGTACAACGTGTGAATCCCATTTCTGAGACCGCCTCCAGTGAGAGTGGAGCGTCCACCCGGAGAGCGGAAGGTCGCGGGTTCGATCCCCGACAGTGTCATACCAAAAGACGTTAAAATATGGTCCCTGCTTGGCGCTCAGTATTAATGGGTACAAAAAGGACCGGTCGTCTCGGAGTCAGTATAATGTGACTGAGTGGGGTATTCATGCTTCACTGCGGCATGGTATCTGAGTGAGCTAGCACTATAAAACCAGCTTAAGTCTGGGCTAGTACAAGCAGCCGCACATACACATACACCCGCATGCACGTCGTCATATGAGCGAAATATTCTCAAGCACGACGTTAAACCTAATTTCACCTCACCCCATTTCTGATGTCCCCGTGCCGTGATATTGCTGGAGTATAGCAAATAGCGGCGTAAAACCATACTCAGTCACTCACTTACATTGCTCAAGTGTGATGCTCTCAGTCTAGGGTTTGCCATGTTAGACTCGGTCAGTTGCAGGCTGCTCTGATACAACTGAATGTGCTGCAGTTATGCAAGCACCGTTTATTTTACCTGAGAGTATTACACACACTTCTTCCCTAGAACTTGTCTTTCCACCGCATTTGATTTTTGTTGTTGTCACTCAATGCATTTGAAACGTTTTTTAGTGTGAACAGTTTTAACTGAAGGAAATGATTAAACCTAGCATTATCTCGTAAACTGTTGTCATGGAAGCATTTGAACTGCAGATGGTGACAGAATGGATCATTGTTTGGTTTTGCATTTTAATTGTAGTTATCTGCCCTTGTCATGTACATGACCAGGACAGACATGATTGTAGACATTTCAGGATGGCTGTACATGTAATAAGATCAATACAAGGGCCTTTTCAACCCTGAGAACAACATTCACTCATTCAGCGTTTCCACCTGGTTGTAGGTTCTTCATAAGCCTGATGTGTGGTCAGAGTAGCCAAGCGGACATTGGCTTTCAGTTTGGTGTCAGATTCAACTATCTCGACGATTGCAACCAGACCGTCAGGAACCACAGAGTCAACAATGTTTGGGGGACTGAGGAGAAACACCAGAACTACTTCCCCTTCGTGCCCAATGCCGAATTCAACATGACCATCCTCATTGAAGAAGCCGAAATCAAGGTGAAACATTTAGATGTTTTCATGTGAAAATCCTCCTCAAATAAGATTATGAAGAACATGTGATGGAGGCAGTAAGATATAAAAGTAAATGTTTAAAGTACAACTGGTCACTTTTACCGTACTTACGTCTTCATTTGTAGGGGACATAACCTTTGTTATACTACTCTTAATGAGTTAATGACCACATAGTTTTAGAATACCAGGATTCATCATTTTGATGAAAGATGGTCCAATTACAGCACTGAGGTTATAATTTGTAGGGGACTTAACTCTTGTTATGCTACTCATTATGATTTAGTTACCACATATTTTTTTAATACACTCAGCCACTGATTTTGTCTGAGTGGGTTAGATGGATGACATTATGTTTTGGCGATTAAGTGCCTGACTCTGAGGGTTTGGGTTGGAATCCCAGAAGAGCCTAACAAAAGTACAAGAATCGGAATTTTACTGAGAAAGTTTTAGCTCAGATATAACATATGTTGCATATATTTGTTTCAAGTTTATCTGTCATTGATATAAATGAATAAGATTATCCTGAACTTATTTTGTTCACTATGGGTGGTTTACATGTGCTTTTAGAAACACTGTGTTTCTGATACTCTACATTTAATGTTTTTCAGGAAGGAAGGGCTTATGGAATAGGTGTCAATATTCCAGTCATGTATGATTGCTGACAATGTTAGCCTGTTAAATTAAGTTTTAGTAATTGTCAGTTGAGAATATTGTTGATTGAAATGACAAGGCTAGTCAAGTGATTCTCGCAGGGTAGATATTCTGGGTGATCGCTCTCTGCACTTCTGTTAAGTGACATTATTCAACCATCAGTGGATGGGTACCCGGTAGGACCAGATGTTAATGGGAAGGCAAAGCTACAAAACTGTGGACTTAATTCAACCAGCATTGGCTGAGAATCTGTAGGATGAGATGTTAATGTGAATGCAAAACTATAAACCAAAACAGTTTGTGTTCAGTACTCCCATGGAGATCCACTAGAGAGCTGGAGGATGTAGATATGGCGGCTAATGAAATGCCTCTTTATAACCTGCTAACTTCAGACCCCTGTATTCCAGGTTACCATCAACAACAAACACTTCTGTGAGTTCAATCACAGGATCCAGCCACTTAGCAGAGTTGACTTCCTGAACGTCGGGGGTGACGTCCGTCTGGTATCCGTCCAGATTCAGTAGGTCAGCTGACCACTTGACGCGGGGACTCCAGAGGACTGGACGCTGTCCCAGCGATGGAAGCCTACCACCTGCCGGCCCCAGTGTCCGACAATATATTTTACAATAAACATTTAGATAGACAGTAATGTAAAATAGATTCAAATGTCCTTCAGTCATGTTCTTGTGTTTTCGTTTTTCAAAAGCATTCGGAAAAAATACAGAAACTGTAAATATACGTACATTATTGACAGTGTAATGTTAGTTAAATGACATCTCAGTTGTTGTCACTGGATCCTTTCGCTCGGACACGATTTTTATGGGGATATATATTGATGAGACATATTTATCGTAGGTCACAACCTAGTACAATGCGTCCACGATGTTCCATATTTTAAGTATAGGTGGCGATTTCCTGCTTGCACCGTTCAGAATAACACGACTTAACCAAAAACATTCATCAAAATCTATAAGTTATCGTACACAAGGACATTACCTTGCTAACACACAACTTTTTCGCAACGTTGTTGGAAGGTTGTATATTGGTAACGTCATGATACAGCGTTGTTTTATAACGTTATGTCACAACGTAATAACAACGTTGCAAATTTACGTTAAAACGTTTTGCTTTCGGCTCCTCACAATGCTATAACGTTTCTTATAACTTGGTGTCACGATAGTTTTCTGTAATTATGGACGGAATATATCACTTGAAAGAATACAAAGAATTTGTCCACTATGTAACTCTGCTATAGAAGACGAAATACATTTTACCTTTGAATGTCCTTATTATGCAGAAATACGAACTAAATATATACCAGAACGTTTCTCATCTAAGTTGAGTAGAATAGGGTTTGTTTCTATTTTGTCATCGAATGATGCCGATGTAATATTTAGATTATCTCTATTTGTAAAACATGGAAAGGACCTAAGAAATAACTTGTTGAATCGGATTTCAGATTTACCTTACTCTAAAAAGTCCTTCTGATTACCAAAAATTGTTAAATGAATGTTATATTGTTATTTTTTCCACTGTATCTACTAATCGTTATATTCTCAACCAGTGTATTTACGTAAACTTGTATATGGGCTGATGGCCTTTGATACAATAGAACACCTTTGACTTGACTTTGATAGTTTTCTGTAAAACTTTTCACTTTGAGATTCTTTCTTCACTATTCAGCTACAGCTTCAGAAAACACTCGACCAAAACAACATGCACATTGACGAATAAACATTGAAGTGAATTTCTGCTTTGTGTCTTATTTACTGTTCACTACTGGGAAAACTATTCAACTATTACCGTTAAATAAAACCTGAAGACAACGTAAAATACGTTAGCTTCAAATAACTTGTGGTGACGTAAAACTGACGTATCACAATGTCAGGCCACAACGTTGTGACAATGTAAATTGGAGTCCACAGAATAACGTTGTAACAACGAAAGCATATATAACGTTGTATCCATTACTGTAATATGATTGGCTGCCTGAAGACACGTGCTTAGTTTTGACCAATCAAGATCCTTATAGCAGACTTTGGAAACCAATCATTATCAAATAACATAACTTGTTACCACTGCGAAAATACTCCTGGCAAAGCTAGGGTGATATTAGTGATGTTCAGAGCTTTCGAACAAAACAAAGTCAAACGAACCTTCTCGCTTGTTATTCATACAAAACTTCGAAAGCAAAGGTACTACCCGGTGTTGTGTGATGTTACCGAGCGGATAGCACTTGTATTGGGAGACCATACATGACAGTAAAAAAACATTATAATAATTTTCCGATTACGTAAAACTTGAAATATATCAGAAAGGTGTAAGAGGATATCAAGACATCTTACAAATGAAAAGAAAAACAAAACATAGTTACCAGACACTTATGTTCTACCACTGTCTTACCTAGTTACCTTTGGTTATCTCGCTTTAGGTCATGCGTGATATTTTAGCGTAGACTTTCTGGTCATGTCAGTTTACTGGATGTAAATCAGATTTGTATTTAATGTTATCTTAACAAAGGGGTTTGAGTCATTTTTGTATTCACGAGAGAGGAAGTCACAGTCAGTTGCACATTTAAAGCTTTCACAAGCAATATTAATGAATTTATGCGTGTAATTCATAATGTTATCAAATAATTCTAATAAAATCACATTATTTTTTGTGATAGTCATCTGAACAGGATTTTCTTCATAAGTGCCATGAAGTTCTGATTTATAGTGTAAATCGATATTACTAAGTTGGACAATGTACAAGAATGTTACTGTGTTATTCTCTGTACAAGAACGTTACATGGACCATATAGCATGCACCAGATCCATATCTTTCTTCTTTAATGCTCCTATGTTGATTTGCTTTTTTTTAAAGATTTGAAAGATTATGTTTTTAGCTTAGTACAGTTTTATTTATTGTATGGTTCTATTTACAACCTCCCCTGAGTCACGTTCTCCACCCACATGAAGCTAAGAAGTTTAAAATTAACTTAAGTTACAAGTGCAACAGGGTGGGAAATATTGTATTCATTGAGGTATTGCTTGGTGCTAGGTTTCAATTATAAACTTTAAAATATTGTTAATTCCATAACGAGGTAGGGACCGTCAGTACAACTCATTTGGAGCCTCGCCACCTATGCAAGGATAGCTAACCCTTGTTGGAAGTACATGTATATGTACATGTATGTGTTGAGAGAAAATACTTTTCAATATCTTAGTGATGTATTTGTGTAAAACCATTGCTTTGAAAGTAATTTGTATTGCAGTTATGATGTATTTTATACTAGTTTTTTGCATAATATTTATATTTTTTATGTTGTGTTTGGATACATACTATTGACGGCATTCTGTTGAAGCACCAGCCAGTTTGATTTAGCCCATAGCTGGTAATTATGTGTATTTTGGTATCCTTTGTCTATAATGCTAATTTCCGTAAGTGTAATAGTTGTCACTTGCCATATGTGCATTTATTAATGTTTATTAATGTAATATTTTCTTTCAAGATTTAGTTGTATTTAAATGTTAGATTCTAAGACACGTATACATATATTATGACATGTTCCAGAATTCAGTGGTTAACACCGTCTGGCTTGGACACAAATAAAGAACTCTGCCCTACGGACCTTGTGTCATATCTGGGACTAGACCGTCTACACAAGTAGTGGAATTTCTGTTACAAAATTGTTAGATCAGGAATTGTAGGAGTTGTTTCGTGGCAGTTCGTTTCTTTTCCGTAGATGCACCAATCTAACACGGTAGCTTTGTCAGAGTAGAAAAATACCAAGAATTTGACAGTTACTTTTATTTAAATCCCTTGTCAGACCATTTCACCATCTGAGCCAGACAGTACAACGAGGACCGGTTATCACCAGTATGTTATTGTTGCTTTGGGTACTTGTGGGCTACTACTGATTAGTAAAGGGAGACACGCACTGGACATTTTGAAGTTTTAAAGTACACACAAAATCACACATTGAGAATATTACCAATCGATTGGGATGTTTTGGAACCAAGTTCGTTATATTCTCTAGAAACATGTACTTTCCACGTCCTATCTGTTGACTGAGCGGGATAGTAGTCTTTGGATAAGGATTTGGATGCAAAGGAAGTTTGGGAGATGTCTGCATCTCGGGTGATGGTGACTGATACGAAACTAGACAAAATCGTTCTTGTTTTTATGTGTCGAGTATTGTCTAGATTTTTAATGATACATGCTTGAGGAAATATGTAAATCGTACCTAAATACTCTGGCCTTGGCTGTGAAGTTAGCACATTAAGACACTGTTGCTTGGCTGTCAGATCTAACAAGTAGTAGGGCCTAAAAAGTTATGTCGTCTACCTCATGTCAAATGTTCATTCAAAATAAGTCTGTTAATATTAGCAAAATCAGTTATCTCCCCTTGTAACACTGACCCCAGCTGTCAACATCGGGCTCACAAGTTCCGGAAACAGAGCTGGGTTAAAGGGCCTTGATTTATGAGTTGTGTTTTTTTGCACATATACTTAACCTTGTATTACAAATTCAAGACGAGGGCATGTCACCCTAACGGACTGAACGTTTCTGGGAAGGCGTTACGTCAAGAGCCAACTGCGACCCCCGGGTCTTACGATTACCTTTGCGCTACGATAGTTTAGTGGAACGTGGACTAGGGTCACGTTACACAAAGCGACCGTAGCGCCAAGACGATTGTAACTTCGATACTTTAACGTAGACTTACGACAGTCGTAACGCTACACAGTTCTGGGCCCCGTCTCACAAAGCCATCTCAGCGTTACGAATACCGCAGACAATGCTAAAGTATGGAGGTTACGATCACCTCAGCGGTACAATCGCGGGCCATGAAGGTACAACAACATTTACAACAGTTTTGAAAGTTAACATATATTCTTATCTAAGATCTGTTCTGCTACAAGATACAGAAAATTATCATATGCACCAGCCGAAGAGTAGATGACACTTATACGCTTTATTCGAAAGTTTCAATAATAATTTGTTTTAAATAATAAGTTTTTAATAACAACTCGCATTTCCTGAAAACATTGTTGAGAAGCCTCAAATAACTAGAAAGTGTAGACAAGACACGTATAGACATTACTATCTAACACTCCTGTTCTTTACTAAAAGCATATATAACACAACACTACTCACCACAAATCAAGTAAAAACGGGAAAAGAACTATTGATTAAAGCATTATCAGGACGTTTCGTTTATCAGGGTAGTGAACGTACGAGGTTTGATTGATAAGTTCCGTACAGAAGGAACTGGATCACAGAGTGAGTGAGTGAGTTTAGTTTTACGCCACACTCAGCAATATTCCAGCTATATGGCGGCGGTCTGTAAATAATCGAGTCTGGACCAGACAAGCCAGTGATCAACAGCATGAGCATCGATCTGCGCAATTGGGAACCGATGACATGTGTCAACCAAGTCAGCGAGTCTGACCACCCGATCCCGTTAGTCGCCTCTTACGACAAGCATGGGTTACTGAAGATCAATTCTAACCCGGATCGTCATGAATGGGTCACAGAGGAA